GTGCCGATTAGCGAAAGAGTATCGATCTTTCGCATACGTCGGCATGTTGCGTTAGCTTCGGCGACTACTGTACAAACCGCTGTGCGGCTGCTGGTGAGGCTTGAGAATGACCCCCAACGCATCCCGAGACAGGCGTTTCTCGTACCGCGATCTTTGAGTGCCCATCTTCTATCATCTTTCCCCTTTATTCTACAGGTTTCCACAGGAAGCCAACATAGGCCACATTTCCGCCTGTTGTATGTGGACGAGGCTTTCTGAAGACCTGTCGGTTGCGCTCGAGCAGCATGCACAGGCAAAGGAGCGCTTTTGCAAAACCTCCGAGTACATGAATTTATGCTTCAAGGTCAAATGGTTCTACAAAACGCACATAGCGGAGGTTCCTGAAATGCAGAACCAGACCCCATCCTATCCCCTGTGAGTTGTCGAGCCTCGTTATCATCTATTGAAATTAACTAGCTCTATTTGTTGCCAAGCTGGTACCGCACTTGTTCGTATGGCAGTCACAACTTTAAAGCGAATATTATTTATGCTAGATGAGTCGTCTCCAGAGGAAAAGGATTTAATCTCCAAATCATAAATACTCTAATGTTATGTATTTTTCTGCTTAAAAGAATTCTTTTGTAATTTGCTAGCTAGGAGTTTTTTGCATGATGCTCGATCGGAAGAATTCACTAATGTTCCGAAAGGACGAAGTTGGTGAAAATTTGGAAGTTGAAGCCTGTTTTTTCAGTATTAAGCAGATATGTTCCAAAACATTTTTTGACACCAAAACCGCTCTCCTTCCAGTGTTTACTCCGTGTCGTAATTTGAGGGAAAATAGTTCTAAAACCCTAGCACAACTGGGGACCAATTCTCATGCCAGAATACCAAGTATCGTAAACAGTATTTTCCGAATCGGGTAGTTACTTCATTGAAGATTTGGACAGTTTTTATTGCTTCTGCTGTGCAGAAAGGATTAAGAACTGCATTTGTGTACATCAATCAAGTTGACCAAGACTTCAGCACAAAGTATGCGTTATCATAAAAATTTGCGAAGAATGTTGAATTAACCCTAGCATTTTACAAATAGTAAATCAAAGTAGGTGTTGCATTCAAAATGTTACGCCTTGTAGTAAGAATATTCTCGAGATGGGTGATATGCAAGCCAGTTGTAGGACTTGAGACAACAGGTATCATTGGGATAGTAAAATAAAATAGAAGGGGCAAGGCGCTAGGACCATCTCTAAAATTCTTATGTGTAAACCTTAAGTTTTGACGCCCAAGGTAGACCGGAGCACTTTAATAATTAGGTGTGCATTAAGCCTAAATTATGCGTACATAGCTGCAATGGGGAAGATATAATGTTCAGCAGAGAAGTGCATTGGCTGAAGAATAAAGCTAAGCCTACGATCATATCAGAATTAACGCTGACTTACTCCTCTGACGGAACCCTATCCTCGATTATCAGTTCTGAACAATGAGAAAATTTCTCACGTTAACTAGTCTAGTTATTGAGAAGAAGTACACGCGAGCGCTGAGACAGGAACAATATAACCTGACGTTTCGGGCTCCTTCTCCAACCAATCACCACTAGCAGTAGTATAAATGAGTATTTTGTACACAAACATTTGTCAGCATGACAATAAACGGCTCCCATTTATCGAGTATAGTTGTCCCTTGTGCGCTGACTGCTCGATAATCGAAGTGCGGGTCATGACCATACTGAAATCTCATCACTCACGCTAAATTGTAATGTGATGACTGCCCGGCAATCTAGTTCTTATTAGATTACTTTGGTCAAACTGAGCCTTAGCACCTAATATTGGACCGTACATTCATGTGAGATGAGGCCACAATTCTTTCGAAAGGTGACAATCGTACGGGCCGCGAGTTGCTTGAGTCCTGTTTTACAGGCTCCTAGTCTACAAACAAATGCAATGACCTCTCCAACCCATACTCGGTGGTGCGGCTCAGTTTAGCCAAAGCAATCCGTCACTAGGATAGCGCACAGGCGGATATATTTTCTACCGCCAGTGACAGGGAGCCAGGTCGCCGAGCAATCATCATGCCAAAACCTAGCATGAATCACACGCCGGATATCAAGCCATTAGCCCACAACCGGGCAACTATCCTTGACAAAGGAGGAGCCTTAAACTGTCATGGCATGTAACAGCATATCGACTGAGTCTTATAAAAATTGCAACTCCCTAAGTACGACCTGCCCGTTTCTGCTACCGTATCTGACGATGGGTTAGAGAAGGAATTCGAAACCTCAGTCAACAAACGTGCTTGTCCCAGCGCTCGCGCCTTCTTCTCAAATGCTTCTTAGGACTCGCATTTTCACCTGCATCGGCAATTCCAATTATTTTAACAGCTATGAAGGGCTGGCTGGGGAGCCCTTTGTCATTATAGAATGCCACCACGTATCTCTTAATTTTGCCAATATGATTCCAAATTTAGAGTCAACTTGAAAACTACTGCAACAAACTCTACTTAACGGTGGCCTTGACCCTGGAACTCTCTTGTTGCCCGGGCAACCCCAGCCGGAGTTATCTACACTCCCTTGCGTAGATGTAAAAAATTCATTGGCAATTACTACATGCATACATTTCAACTGTTTCTATTTATTTTACTTAGTTGAGTGTTAGGAAGTAGGAGCTTAAAAACACTACAGTTAAGTCGATTTTAGGGGA